GTCACGGTGGCCCGCCTCCTACGTATTTCCCACAATCCTGCAGCATCGTCCGCCAGCCTTGGGCTGTGTGTGCGGCGTGCACCCATGCATGGATCCCCTGCGAGTCTGGATTGTTGCGTAACACCCTCCCCCCGGTCTGCTGTCAGCCCGCCAGTAGGTAACCAGGAGACGCGCTGAGGGAGAACAGGAAGGGGGACGCACCAAGGGGAGCGGTAAGGAGGCTGCCAGGCCAGGAGGACATGTGTGTGCGTGTGTCCCTTCGTGTGGGCTTCTAAAAGGAGGCCACACTCCCCAGAGACCATGACATGTGCATTACACTTGCGGGGGCTGATTCGCCAGTGTGTGCATCCATGTTCTTAAACCCGCCACATTGTGCTCTAATAGCCATGGGCCAGAGATTGTTCAGACTTGCCTGGAATTATGAAAAATGGATCAGGGCTCTGTTTGACCTGGAAAAGACAGCGGCGATCAAGCCCTCACTGAAATCCGGTATCCGTCCACACACACACACACACACGCACACCTGGCCGAAGTTGAGGAACCTGAGGCTATAAACCTTTACATTATATTCTCTTTTAGCAGCTCAACTGAGACAGCTTACAACTGTATCTCTCAGCGCATTTGTAAAGCTGGCCATTTTTACCAAAATATTTCCGGTGAAGTTCTCTCTCAGGATTTAAGATCTCTAACCACTGCGCCCCCTGCTGCCTCTTTAGATTGCAATGTTATGAGCACAATTTTTCTTCAGATATAGGAAAATGACATAAAGCATTACTTGCAACGATAAACTGTCTGTCCTAAAATCATCGGCCACATCTGGCAGCCACATCTGGATGTCCTTTTTGGGTTACTGGGCACATGGACTTTGGATTCTGCGTATCACCCTCTGCAGGCTTGGCATCACATAGCATCGTCTGCTTTTAAAAGCCCATACGCCCAGGTCTTGCTGCCTTTCCCTGTGGCTTCAGCCTATAGCTTCCTATGACCATAAAGGATGTTTATGTGGTGTGATCAGCCTATTCTGGACCTGCTAGAGACCACACCAAAGGAGACCCATCCAGATGGTCTGCAGCACCTTCAGATGGACCATTTAGTTGGGTTGCATGGTGCATCCAGCTGTGTGTTTTTACTCTGGTCCTGATTTGGATTACAGGCAGTTAAGGGGCGAGTTTGTTTTGCCATCAGACAGCTGTTGTACGTCTGCGCCCCTTGTGACGTAGTGAAACAGCCAGTCATGTAAAATTAGAAGGTAAAAACATGCTAAAGAGGGTCATTAAGTGGCACGAGGTGGGTATATATCCAGAAGTTTCAGTAGCACGATGCTGATTTTGGAGTAGTTGCATCTGCGCAGATTGTGTCCCCAGGTTAGAAAAGCACGAGCAGACCATGAGGAGCGAGCAACTCGGCCAGATTGAAAGCAGGTTGTTTTACATTCCGCCGTCCTCCCAGCATGGACGGAGACATGACCGTGCACACCCGCCAGCACCGTTATGAACCTTCTGCCGTGATGTGGGGGGGGAGGGGGGGTTGCTCGACTGTGGTTTTCTTCTCCACACGAAAACTGTGCCGTGTACTAAGAAAGGCGAGTGCCGATTTGCATTAAACCGCTCCCGCACTGGTACGGCCAGCAAGTTGAAGAAACCTGAATGGAGGAAATTGATGGTGTCACCTTACCCGGAGCGCCTTTGTTGGCTCTAGGGCCCGTATTAAAGGTCTCTCTACAAGCCTGCCTCCTTTGCATGTTTGTTTGAGGCACTGCCGTCCCAGTGGGTCTGGCGCCTCGTCTCTCCCGGCTTGGATTTAAGCGGGGGTGGCCACCTACTGCCCACCCTCAGTGCTACATCGCTATAACTTTTTACCGTTTCTGTTTGAATCATTATTATTGCGGGAGAGTCTAATCGTCCTCGTGAATTTCAAGTGAATGTACGGGTTTTTTCTTCCCCGGAGTCGAGTGATTAAGCAGCTAATCTCATTGTGGGCTTCTATAATTAAACGAAAATTTAGTGTCGCTTTAGCCAGATCTATCTTAATTAGAGAGCTGAGAAGTTTTCGGACCGGTCCGAAAAAAATTGCATAAAATCATTAAGTGCTCAACGAAACCTGCCATTTTACTTGAATGTCCCTGCTTTAAAAAATCATGTATTTGTTTATTATGCTGTTCTATCAATAAATTGTTAGTAACAGCAATTTTACTTTTAATTCATAGTGATTTTACTTTTAATTCATAGTGGGAAAAAAACACGATTAACACCGACGATTTTAATGTACCTTTTTGAACACTAAAGGAAAATGCATTTAATGCATGAGTTTGGCATAACAGCGAGGTGAGCTCAAATGCATTTGTGCCATGGTGTTTTCAACTTGCATTACATCGTGTAACAGCGTTTATGCCCTTTTAAATGTCAAAAGCGATACAGTTGAACTTCTGTAAGTTAGATGCTGCTATTTTGATAGATATATAAGCAATGAATCACTATGTCTGAGGGAAGTTCCCCGGAACTGTCTAATAATCTGTTCCTTATGTTAACCATGTTTTCGTCATCTGACTATATCTGAGTTTATGTAAATTTCAGCGAACGTGCCGCCGAAACCCAGGCAAATCAGTTTAATGCTTTTACCAATGTAACGGTGAAAGAGGGCTAAAAACAGTAAAGGCTGCAGCATCCAATCTTAACGTGGAAGTTTGTTACGTAATACCGTAAAACATTACGTGATGTTAATTTTAAAACCATGCCGTGATACTACGATAATGTCACAAATCGATTTTATGCATTTATTTATTTATGTTAACCTAAGGACGGTCAGCGGCCCGGGAGGTAGCACCATGGACTGACACTCCCACCGTGCAGTGCCGAGCCCTCATGCGCGTGGAGTTTGCGTGACCTTCCACATCCACGCAGGTTTCCTGATATGGTCTGAAGACTTGCGCTTTAGGTAAACTGGCATATCTAAAACTTCTCATAGCGTGTGATTGTGTGCCTTGTGGTAGACAGGCATCCCATCCGGGGTGTCCCCTGCCTTGTACCCTGCACTTCCTCTCCAGGCTCGCTGCAGTCCTTCACCGGATGGATTATGTAGTTATGTCAGACACCATAATACTATAGTAAAGAGGGAAATTTACAGTCTTTCAAGCCTAGTCTGTCATTTCTGGCGGAAGAAAAAAATCCTCTTCTGAGTCTGAGGATACGCACGGCCACATTTCACTGCTAGCATACTTTTGATATAGCAATAGGTAAAAAAAATGTCTTTTGCGCTAAGAAACTGGACTTCCCCGTTTGTGACGTAGATGTTAAACAACCAGGGGTGCTATTAACTTTGGTCAGCTGGCTGAAGTGAGATTTTTAACGAGTCAAGTTTGCACACACAGGCACGCGCATTTTCATGTAGGCCTATGTATCATGTTATAGTCTGTAGGGTTTGCAAACTACCCCAAAGCTTTTGATATATCTAATTTTATGTTTCTAATGGAATAATATAGATCTGCCGTAAGATTTCTTGCGTGAGCGTTATAGTCAGAAAGCGTGTGTCACGCCAGATGCATGAGAGTTGGCAACCCTGTAAACAACTTATACACCATGTAGTATTTAATGGTACTATACTGTACAATAGTGAAGTTAGGCAGGCTGTTGTGGAGTTTTGTTCATATTTAAGGGCAAAATGCAGAAGGTACGCACACAAGCGAGCGGCGTCACCTGTGGTTTTCACGCAGTAATTAGTGATCACTATTTGAACGTCTTCCCTCTTTTATTTTCACCATCTGTCCAATCCCTCTCTCATCCGCGTTGCCCCGGGTTAACGATCAACGCTGCTGAACAGATGTCTTTGAGTTCGGCTGAGTGACATACGAGAGCAGAGCCCCCCCCCCACAATGCGCCCGGACGGCCAATGCTGGGGTATGGCCAGCGAGGCGGGGAGCCCTGGCTTGGTTTTGCCAGCTGCTTTTTACTCTTGGCACCGTGCAGAACTCGTAGAAGCACAGAAGTGTATAAGTTACTCCCACATCTGTTATTTCTGTATAGAATAAAAAAGGTATAGAAACGGCAAATGAAATGTCCCTGTCGAATGCGCAAGGAGAAACGTGTGAGAACAAAACCGATACACAATCCTTCAGCTAAGCAAACTTTGGCAAAAGGCTCAGAACCTCTGCAGGGGTAGGAGGACCTGAATATGCAGGGAACAGAAGGTTCCAGCACATTAGCTGGCATCCGGCAGACTTCAGGCCACCGGCTGGATATCCAGGAGCGCTTCCGCTACCTCCAGACCGCCGATCCGGGTCCATAACCGAGGGCAGCTAATGGTTTTCTCCGTGCGTGCGGTGTCTGGCTCGGATGCGCTCCGTGGCGGAGGCCGCTGCGGCGTTGTTTCTCCAACACCGTGCTGTTAAGGTACCGGTCGGACCGGTTTTTCCGCAGGGTGACAAATACGCGCGGATACGTATGAGGACGGCTCGTTCCGGTTGGTTCGCGGGCCGGAGAAAGTCGGGAGTCCTGTTTCATATACGAAAAAGCAAAGGGCTCCGTTCATGCCAGACTGGTGTCACTGTGAAACTTTAACGGAGACGTTTCTCACTTCTGGTCTTTAAGGACCAACGTATATGCAGAATTTTAGCCCAGTTGTGCTTTTTAACTGTTGATCATAATACTAACCTAGTTAAGCTAATTTACCTCCCGGTATATAAAGGTGTTCGATATGGATCCGCCATGGCTTATTTAGCTACTTATTTATTAACTCATTAGTATATTTCGCGTAGGATATAAAGAATCTGGTTTAATTAAATAGCTCGCCTCATAAATTAAACATTCTTCTTTTGCTTTTTAATGCCATAATGTTGCCAAAAATCCAAATCGCCATAGAAGTGTAACCATACTTTTTTAAAATAGATTTTTTTTTTTTATCAATATTTATTTATAGGCCTACCTACATGAAGTCTCAGGTTTCCCAAGATATAGGCTACAAGTGATATAGGACATATAATCATTGGCCTATTTTATAATCTGCAGTTGAATATCATTACTAGAATCGGTTTACTTATTACTAATCGGTTATACGGAGGTATTTCGTTCAGCCCAGACATGTGATCTGGCTCATTAGCATAATTATACGAAAATGTTGACGTTAAAGAAGCTTTCTCAGTTTTCTTCCCATTGCATTTATCTGACACCTTCACTGCGCAGATGTGCCGTCACAGCCCAATCCTTCAAACTCCGTCCTTCGAGTCCAGCTGCTTGCAGGGACAGAAGACCACGACATGAATTAAAGAATTATCTCTCATTACACTGGACTACTGGTCAGCCATTTCCTGTAAGAGAAAGTTGATCCTTTTATTGATCACCCATTACAAGGTTATGGGCTAACAGGATATACTGAAGGAAGAGTCACAATATGTAATAGTTTATTTCTAAAATATATATATTTTTTCCATACTACGTACGGGTGATTTTTATAAGCAGATAAGGTTTTATGGTATAGAATAAGATACATATGTACTCTTGATTTCACTCACCAGTCAGCAGTGATAAATACTACATTTACAGAGGCAGTTAGTCATTCTAATACCAACTGCGGATGTCCCGTACGTATCACAGAAATACCAGTACGAAGCGCTGCTGTTGGATTTGAAACCAGTCATAACACTCGTTTACGTATCTGTAGCCAAATCACCCCCTCCCTTATTCTAAGTGCATGATTCCTGCAGTCACAGCATTTCATCCCCTGCTGGGAGTGGTATGTTCCAGGATGTCAATGCCCCCGGTTTGCAGGGAACGTTCTGTGAACTGCTCGAGCTGGGCCGTGCGGAGGGCTCGTCTGTCACGACCCTGCCTAGGCCGCCTGCGGAGGCACCTGCAGAGACCGTGTCTGGCCCCATCAGCAGAGATGGTGCCGCCTTTCGGTACAAAAGGGCCACACCTTGTTCAGCGCCCAGGACGCTACACTCACTTCTTATCCGAATTCGCCTTTATGGCCTCCGTTTGTGCTTTTTTTTTTGTTCCTTTTAAAAAGCCACGTCTAATTAGTGATGTTTTAAAATTATTATTTTTAACCAGGGCCGGAAAATGTTGTACTTGAAATTGTTGAATAACTTGAACGTCTCAGATATTTGCGGTTGCTGACACATACTGTGGTGCTGTTTCTCGGACGTGTGGGCAGCTAGGATATACCTCGTCACCAGAGCCTGTAATTTCACTCTGTATTTACATCAGACGCAGGGAGCCGTTTAAAAAGAGTTAAATTCCCTTCGTGTTTTTTTTTTTGCACCTTTTCATAATGGCACATTCACAACCCATGAGAGACCAGAAACATCTAATATTATTGGCTACTTATCTGCAGTAGCAGCGTGTGTGTAGTTTGCTGGCTGCGACTAGCAACTGCTGGGTCCCAGCTGCCAAGTGTAGGTGGAGAGGGAGAGAGAAAGAGAGTGAGTGAGAGAGGTGAAGAGGAGTAGAGAGTGAATCAGTGAGTGAAAAGGTAGAGAGGGGGAGAGTGTGAGTCAGTGGGGGGGAGAGTGAGTGAGTGAGAGGTGAAGAAGTCAAGAGAGTGAGAGGTGGAGAGGGAAAGAGAAAGAAAGCTGTAAAGGGGGAGAGTGAATGAGTCAGAGTGAGAGGTGGACAGGGAGTGAGGGAAAGAAGGTAAGAGGTGGAGAGGGATACAGAAAAAGACGGGGGAAAAAAGTGAATGAGGCAAGGAGGGGAAGAGGGGGAGTGAAAGGGGAGACAGAGATGGAGAGGGAGGAAGAGAAGAAAGACGGAGAGAGCGAGTGAGAGGCAGAGAGGGAGAAAGACAGGGAGAGAATGAGTGAGTGAGTGAGAGAGAGGGATGGGGGAGGAGGGAGGAAGCAGGCAGGGTGAGTGTGCGATTGTGTTTCTGTGTGCCAGTGTGTGTGTGAGAGAGAGAGAGAGAGGCGCGGCACAGCCAGACACAGCCGGCCGTCTCTCGGCGCAGCAGCGGCTCTGCTTTACGTCACCCTCGAGCGGCTGCTGGATCAGGGCAGTAGCAGCGGCGCCTCGCCTCTCAGCGGCCACACCAGCCGAGTCGGGATCTCATTGGGCGCCATTGCGGACTGCTATGCCTTTCAATCGAGCTAAAATGAAAGTGCGAGCGACCATTTGAGGAGTTTCGGTTCGATGCGCGCTCTTAGCGATGGACGTAGCTCTGTCAGCGGGACGGCGAGCCCCATGCTTGATTTAAAGAGCCGACTGGAGCTGAAGCTGGTAAGTTACTAGTTACTAGTTTAAACGCCGGAATACGACGCAGCGCCGTATAATCGCTCTGTACAGATTAATGGAAGTTTGGCATTTACCTCCACTGGCTCGTCTGGCAGTTCACTTTTTAAATCGGGAAAGCGATAGAAATAAATCCATTTGGCTATAGGAGCTTACGTAAGTATCTAGTTAAATGGGGATGAGAATTGGTATGCTTTATGATTATTTTAAATAAAAAGCAAAGTGTTCTTCGGGTGAGTGTGACAGCGGTACGTGTTATTTTCACACTTTGTGGCCATGTATGTGAATTTGGGTGCATTTCGATCATACTGCTGACCTTCTCAATCCTCTGATCTCCCTCCGGCAACTCTGCCACCGCGCCGACAAAGTTACTGTGCTGCTTGGTTTGAGACCCATTAGATGGACGAAGGTGCGCTGTCCTGACAGATGAAGTTTGGTGGTCCCTTCGCCGTGCCACGGGCGGGGGCGGCGCACACCCACGCCTGGTGACATTTAACTCCGTGGAGGCAGGAGGATGTCTGTCTGTCATTAACCTTATTCACTAAGTGGGCTGTTGACGCCGCTCTGATCAAGAGATACGGCCGGTCATGATCTTAAACGCAGCCACCTAAAAATCCCCCTTATACGTCTATGCGGGACAAGAAGACCCGAATTCCGATTAATTAATTACATGTGTTATAACAAAATTGCATGTGATATATAATGCTACATATGTGTGAAAGCTTACTCTGATGTTTTTGATCGCTAGAATGTAGATTTCTGTTTATACTCGGCGAACCCGTTAACATCTCTAGCTGATCAGGTCTTCTGGCTGAATTGAATTAAACGGACCCGTCTTACAGTGTCCGTACTCTTTAAATCAAGCAAAAGACACCAGCCAGTTTCTCAGGTCACAATCGCCGTAGCAGGTATGTCAAGGTCAATTAGAAATGTGATTTAATATATATAGCGAAGTCAAATGGGAACCTTTTGCAAGGCAGCCATCAAACGACACACAACCAGCACAAAGAATTGTCGATATCGTTTCGTTTAGCTCTCGGATCACATCGGGCCAGTGAAACCAGTGGGTCAGTATACGTTCCACAAGTCAGTTAATAGTGATGTGCTTATTTTTTAACCTTCCCCTTTTCCCTTGGATAGTTTCCTGTCGAAGCCGCTTATGACAAATAGATTTTTTTTGCGCGAGAATAAATGCCGTTTGCACTGAGCGTAAGGCAGAGCTTCATAAATATGTAATTCGTCATTTGAGACGGCTGATTTCTGTGTTATGAGACTGTCAAAGGCCAGCACTGCGAGGCAGAAGTTTATCACGTTGCCTGAGCGTAGTGAGATCGGATTTCGAGAGCGTGGTCCAGAAGCAGAAGGCGCAGCTGCAAACAGGCAGCGCTCGCTGGCTGTTCTTCTACTTTGGCGCTTGATTTCTAGCTGAGGCAGTAACCTGGCAGGTACACACGCTAACCAGTAACCCCGCAGTACGAAGGACTTTCACCGGGCCGAGCTCTGGGGTCACTCAGCCTGGCCGTAGTGCCATATCTTTTCGGAGCAGGTGTCTCCGGCCACACAACTACTACCATTTTTGGGACTGGAGTCAATTCGAACATTATACTCTCTTGGCATCTAGAGCCATTTTGTTCTGAGACATTGACTCTTCATTTGAATATCTATATGTCACTTTTACATTTGTTGGTACCTCAGCACTATGCCCAATCACAAGGTACTTCACAGTGAACCTGGGCATAACTTGAACCAGGGATCTTTTGGGATGCCCTGCTGGGCTTCTCAAGCCCCATCCGGTCATTGGGACATTAAATAAAAAACTACAATGAATAAAGACAGGACACAAGTCAAAGTACCAACTGTGCCAAGTGTAAGGATGCTGTCACATGACCATATGGGCCATATGAAATACATAGAGGGAGTGATGTCACCTCCTGTTTACGTCCCTTTCTGAGGAAATACTGAACTGTCAAAAAAAACAAAACGAGGCAGCCCCCTCATGGCTGGTGTGAGTCAGGTGTCTCCCGGATTACCTGAATGGGGCGGCTGCTTCTGACTGATGCTGAGCCTGGGGACATGGCGCGGCACGTGACGGATGCCCGCGACGTGCCAGTACGTGTCTGCCCTCGCCAGAAGACACACGGGGATGAGACGCTTCGGAAACTGCCGTAAAACAAAAGCATTGTGCATTTTGAGATTTGCCAGGGTACAGATGGAATTTTATGGACATTTTAAATTAATCTTGACTTCCTGTTTGTGTTACGAGATCTGTTTTATTGCCCTTAGTCTATATTCATCGCTTTATCAGGCCTGTTTTCTACTTCTGGTTCAGTCTGTTTGGGATTCACCTTCTTGTGGGATAGGCGTGCTGTAACAGTAAGGCCATCCTTTATTGGGGGCCTAATCTCATCCAGGAGGCTCTGATGTTTTCAGGAATATGCTGCCTTTATGGCTAAAAGCTAAATGACATTTTGAGTGTGATGTACTTGGCCCACGCTGCTAGTTAAGGCATCTGACATAGACTTGAGCCTTCGGATGGGTCATTTTGGCCTCGTGCTTCTCTTCACCAGGGCACCATTCTGACAGTGCTTCCACTAGGGGGAACCAGCATCAATCTGGTGACCTGCTGTACACGTGTCGTCTGGGGCATGCGGCTGTCACGAGAGCGACACACTCCTAAAGGGTGACACACCTTAGTGTGCTGTCATCTTAATGAGAATCCAGACCGTCGGTATGAATCAGACACCCTCTAATAACTTGCAAGCAGTAGACATATTTGCACCACCTTGAATGTTTCGTAAGGTGCAACATTTAATAGCAGGAAGAAGGTTGTGGTGTCACAGCCAATGACAGTGACACACCCTGCCTCCCAGTCACCTTAAAAGGACACTGGTTATGTTCCGTTGTGTCTTGAAGATCCAAATCTCATTGGGATATGCTTGTTGGACCCATTTCCCCTTGTCCCTTTACTACAATTTTCCAGTGCAATTCATCGATCCTTCGGCCTGTGGTGCCCCCAAACAAACACACGTGAGGTTTTCTCTTTAGAGGCAAATCCCTAATGGAACAGCGTGATTGGTGGAGCTCTCTCGTTTAACTGGGCTGGGTTCAGCACTGCTTCGTCAGGACACGCCCCTCCCATCCCCTGCCGTCCTGGCGCTCGTCCTCCCGCTCGTCCTGTCCAACCCGTTTTAAAGTCCCCCAGACATGCTCTCGCCGTAACGGGAGACTGACTCATGTGTGAGATGGTGAGGATTCAATCCACAGGAAGTGGATTTCGGTTACAGCACGTCGACCATCCTCATCACTTTTAGAGCTTGTGTGCTGCCGACTTCATGCTGGATCATTATCCGGAAGTTTCTGCGGCATTGCCCTGGAGTGTCACGGGTGGAGGTTCAGATGCCGCCGGTAGTTTTATTCCGTGGCTCGCTATGAGAGGCCCCCGTTGTGGATCTGGTCGTGAGCCTTCCTAGGTCACCCCCCAAGGTGCTGTTTAAGCATGGGAGAAGGCAAATAAGTACAACAGTAATCATCTGCATGACTACCGCACAGTACTTAGTGAGTAGCAGGTACAGACCTGTGTCCACTGCCCTGGTCCTTGTGGTACCTGGGATAGGCTCCAGGCCCCCACAATGCTATACTGTAAACACAGTGATGGATGGATGGATGGATGCATGCATTCTCTTCACGGTGTGATAGTGAGAATTTGCTTAGATAATCACCAGAGACACGGGGTCACGGTCGTACAGCCCGTCACCTGAAGAACAGGCAGACGCTGGTTGGAGCCCCCTGCTGGCGGATTGCGGGTTTCGGTGGGGGTACGCTCGACCCTGTCGGATTCGGATGTTACGCCATAAACCCGAGGTCCCCGTTCCCAAGAGTCTGCCTGGGTCCCCTCGGCACCGGCGCGCTGCGGGGCAGGAAGGGAGAGAAGCAGCGCTGTTCCTTTCTGTCAAACCCCATCTGGCTTCCCATCATCCTGCTGGGCGGATTCTCAGCTGAGGTTCGCCATGGCAACAGGCAACCCGGTCCGCTGCACTTCCGGAGAGAGCCGCACTCCTCACCCATCTAACTAAGTCTGTCTGTCTGCCTACCATCCGTCCATACACTCTCACTCACTCTGTCACACCAACACACACACACGTTTGTATTCCTGTTTGTGGGGACTACCTATTCGTTTCCATGAGAAAAACTCTAATCTCAACAATGATGACCTAGCCCTAACTTTTACCACAAGTAACCAAACAAAATACAAGACTTTTGGCATTTTTCGTGTTTTGATTGCAGTCACAGATTTTTATAAAATTGAGGTTATCTCTTTCTCTCTCTCTCTCTCTCTCTCCGTCTCTCTCTCTCTCTCTCTCTCTCTCTCACACACACACACACACACACACACACACCCCGGCACCCGCCGGCCTCGTGCTACCTCTGCTCCCCCACACGTTTGTGACGAGCGCCTCGTGAGTCCATTCATAGCCGCCGTTCCAGGAATGCCGGCCATGTGATGCGGGGCCGCGCCGAAACCTGACTCATTTCGGCGCGTCTGCTCTGCCGCGGTGCCGCCGGCATTCCTGCTGCGACGGGACGGGGATCTGTTGCCCCACGTCACACTCGGAGCGGGGGGCTGGCGACGTTACGCGCTGTGCGTTACGCGGTATCTGTTACGCTCCATGTGTCACGCATGTCTTCACCGGCGCGCTTTGAGTCACGGCGCTGCGAGGAATTGAACTGGTTTCCAAGAAACGGCGCCGAGCGACTTCTCTGCGCGCGTGACCCACGGGGGCGTCACTCTGCGTAAACCCTGTGACTCTGTCAGTCCAAGCTGCCTGACTGTTATGAAGATGAATGGTTTAAACAGCAAATATAAGCTTACTGTTTACTGACGTGTGGCCGGGCCGTGAGCCATGCTGCTTTGTGTCTTTTTAAATACGTGTTACAGGTTTCAGGTTTTCTGTTCTTAATGCCAAATAACGTTTGAATTACCTATGTGATGCGCTTCTATTGCTCATTTGTCGATCAGGGGTGCGAGGGGTGTCCTCTTTCTGGGGAATAACCCTCCTGAATTCCCATGAATCTTTTAAAGCATAATATTAAGCTGATCCAGATCTTGTGGAGTTCACTTTTATTTCTTAATTACTATAGCTATAATATAATTTTCTTTCTGCTGTTACTGATACTCACTCTGATGACCAATCACATTGATTACAGTGGGGTCAGTCTGATTGCCAGTCACTCTGATCACTGCCAGTCACTCTGATCTTATCATCAATAAACTTGTTGTTTATTGACGATGGTTACTGACGATGGTCACTCTGATTGTGGTCGCTCTGATGATGGTCACTGACGATAGTAACTGATTGTGGCCACTCAGATGATGGTCACTGATGATAGTCTCTCTGTGGTCACTGATGATAGTCACTCTGATTGCAGTCACTCAGATGACGGTCACTGACCATAGTCACTCTGATTGAGATCACTCTGTTGATGGTAACTCTTATTACAGTCACTCTGATTTTGGTCACTGATGATAGTCACTCTGATTGAGGTCACTCTGTTGATGGTAACTCTCATTACAGTCACTCTGATTTTGGTCACTCTAATTATGTTCACTGATTGCGGTCACTCTGATAGTCACTTTGACAACTCACCCTGTTTGCTGTCACTCTGATTGCTATCACTCTGATTTTGGTCCCTCTGATGACAGTCACTCTGCTGTCACTCTGATTGCTGTCATTCTGTTTTCTGTCACTCTGATGATGGTCACTCTGATGATGTTCACTCTTCTCTCGTCCCACAGATATATGTTGGGTAAAGGGGCAAAGCGGAAGCACGATAAGGATGATGACGGGCTGGAGGGCGACGCGGTGGTGGCAGCGGGGCGAGGGGGGGGCCCCTCTAAGGCATCCTACACACTGCAGCGACAGACCATCTTCAACATGTCGCTGATGAAGCTGTACCACCCGCGGGCAGCGGTCGAGCCCAGCCTGGAGCGCCGTGTGCTCATCAACAACATGTTGCGGCGTATCCAGGATGAGCTGCGGCGTGAGGGCGGGGCCCAGCCCCTGCCCCTCCCACTGCCCGCCTCCCCGCCCCCCGAGGACCCTGCCGATGAAGGGTTCCGCGAGCCGCCCCCCCCGCCACCCGGGCTGGCGCCTCCAGACTCCTGCCTCACCCCAGCCTCCCTATTGGAGGCTGATGCCTCCCTCTTCTGCAGCTCCCCCTCCCCACACACCTTGCTCTTCCATGGCGCCCCCTCTAGGCCAACCCCTTCCCCGTCACCCTCCAAAGATGGCTTTTCCTCCGCCCTGGACGAAATTGAGGAGCTGTGTCCCGACGTCGCAACGACTACCTCCCCCCCTCCTGGAGCATCTCCTCAGGGGCCCCAACTATCCCCCATGCTCCCTGCAGGGGGAGACCTGAAAGCCAGAAAGCCCGACGTCCGAGGGGTGGTGATGGCGACAGACCCTCAACCTGGTAGCCTGGACATGAGCCCATGCCCCCCACTCTCTTCTTCCTCCTCATCCACCACCTCCTCTTCCTCCTCGGGCTTCCTCACGGACCTGGCGCTAGACGACATCCTGTTTGCGGACATCGACACCTCCATGTATGACTTTGATGCGTGCACCTCCGCCTCAGGGACCGGCGCCGCCAAAATTGCCCCCGTGATGACGGCGGATGACCTGGTCAAGACTCTGTCGCCCTATGGCGGCCCTGGCACCGGTCCGACCTCAGCCGCTCCAAGCCAGCCTTTCAAAATGGACCTGGCCGAGCTGGACCACATCATGGAAGTCCTGGTGGGTTCCTGACTTCAGCAGCGTTTCACAAAAAATAATATATAAATATGTATTTCAGAAGAACAAAGAAAATATAGACAGTGCCCATTTTTGTACAGTTTTCTACGCCGGGCAGTAAGAAAGTGATGGGTGGCGCCCCTTAGGGGCTGCTTGACGACACTGCATGCCATTGGCCCACCCTTCCATGAGACCCTCAATGCAGAGACCATCAGGCGGCTTCTAGCAGATCCCAGTGCCTTCATCTGCCTCTGACCACCCCACGGCTTGCGGTCCGTCCCCCGGTTTCCACGGCAACCTGCGGGCAATTCCGCCGGTTTCTGGCTGCAAAGGATACCCCCTTTATTTAAGCACAAATGGTGACGCGGAGATTCCCGTTGTCATGTCCCACTTCTGTATATAGATCCTGTTTCCGGTCCATCAGCGCTGTCCACACCGGCTCAGTCAATGAGTTTGATGATGATATTTTTACACAAACTGTATTTTTTTTGAAAGAACAGAAGTGCAGAATTTAATACTCATCACTGAAAGTATTTTAATAAGGTGTGTTCTCTGAACCTTCTGTTTCTCTTAAACGTGCGAGTTTCCGCACGCAGGGTTCTCCAGGAAGGCCAGTGGTTCCAGTTGGGGCATTGCCTCATCACTGGTCCGCCGGCCAAAAGGGACTTTTCATTGGGTCGCATAGATGTCGAATCTGCAATAAGTACTCAAACCAACCAATCACTGTGAGAGAAAAAAGAAACTACAATCTGTTGGAAATTAGGGCACGAATCCACCTCACATCACAATGGACATTTGGATTTAATTGTACGTGTTTCTAAAAGATTAAATTATTTTATAAAGGTAGTAGTTGACCAGTAAAGTATGAATGGAAAGGGAAAACATGTACAGTTTACAAAAAAACGTGGTTTACATTCACGGGGACTCCACTTCCGTTAGACAGGAGTTACCACAGGAAATGACATCAGCTGTAATATATGTTGCCGACACTGACTGAGAGTGTACTGTTCATCTCGCTACATTGTAATGGGACATGATTGCGGGACGATGCCTGTTGTCCTCACGGACTCGCCAAGGCAGCCCCCCCCCCCCATGCATGCTCCATGAATAATACCCTTTACCATTGCACCAAATAACTGTTTATTTTTCTTTTAAAATCATTTTTAAAGCTGTGTTTTAGCGATCAATCCCCGAGCGTGTAGCTCCGCAGAGGCGTATCGATGTCTGCAGCCTTTTTGCCAAATGGTGTTTCCTGCATCTATAGCTTTGGGTAATTTGGTGTGTCTGCTGCCTCAGAGTATGACCCATGGCCACCTAATATGGCTTCTGTATGTCTGATGTTCCTATTTAAGTTCAGTTGAAATGCTGTTGCTTTGTTCGTCTGAAACATCGCCTGTTCTCTCCTTGTCACTGACCTGTCTGGGGCGGCTTCTGGATGAACAGGAGGTCAGGTGGTCAGCCGACCTGTAGGGGGCGCCGTCAGTGACCCAGCGGGCGCAGGCGCCCCGGAGCACTGCTGAGATCACGGCACAGACGTGTAGGTCGAGCCTAAGACACGCCTGAGATGCGTCATCATGGCTTGAAATAGTGTTCCCCCTAGTCCGTTTATGACGTTTGGGGGGGGTTGAGGTTCCTACGGGCAGCTGTCAGTCAGCACGACTGCAAGTGCAGAAGAGGCATGGAGAATCAAAGTAACTTTTTATCAAATATAGTATTTTTCTATTAAATTTTTAAACACGTTCACATCAGCCTCATCCCTGATGGAAGCAAAGCCATTCATGTAGCTTATGGAGGAAAAATCTTTCAAACTAGAAACGTGTTTTGTGGGGTAAATCGTAGTACCTGCTGCGTCTCTGAGAGTTTGCTCGAGTGACCAGGAGAGAACCAGGTGGACAGATTGATTCCTGAATGTAAAATCAGTAACAATTTCTTTGGTTTGAGGTGATTTTTTAAAGTTATTTATTATTTGTTTCCTGTGTAAATATATTTATTTTAATGTGATGCTAACATATGGATTGTAATGCTTGCAGAATGTAAGGTAGGAATGTACTCGTCTAGGAATGTAATTTGTGGGGGCTTATGATTATGAGAGCGCCTTTCCCGTGCGTTTTAACCTTTTATTTTCATATGATTTTTACTGAGTGGTTGGGGGGGGGGGTTGTGAGGTCTGTGCCAGGTCATGGTAAAAACACTCAATCCTGGACCCATGGGGGTGCGTTTGGGTGGGCAGCCCAGGACATGAGCACGAGTGTCTCTATCAAGTGGATGCACAGTTTTTCCTTGGAGTTTAAGAGCTCTGAGCTCCAGAGCCAGAATGTCAGGATGCTTCCGTCAATGATGCCAAAAATTCCATGATTTTTGTACCATCCACATCAGATGGATTCAGTGTTTTTCTTCCAGAGGCTTGGAGGCTCAGCAAACTCATCCTGGGCAGGCTGGGGGGGGGGGTTGGGGGGCTGGAGAGCACTGGGACAGACCTCGCCCTGCTGGGTGTAAAAGGGCATTTTCTGCTGGGGGAAAAAATGAGGCTGTATTTTTTTTCCACAGACCTTTTGAGCTGCGGCTTTGTCTATGCAATATTACATACTCATCCAAAATGGAAATGGAAAGTAAATAAAAACATCAAACTGATTACTGTATTCACACCAATGTATGGACTGTAGTGTGTGTGTGTGTCTCATTTTATCATGAGGTGTGTGTATATGTATGTGTGAGTGTGTGTGTGAGTGAGTGAGCCAGCTGCAGTCTTACTTTTGTAGTTTTATATTATACAATAAACTGAAAGTAAAGTACATGACTCTTATTGCACTTATTTTCCAAAGTGAGGGTGTTGACATTGGTTGGGTTCTGTATCAAAATGGCAGTTGAAACACACTCTATATCCTATTCTCTATCTGCATTATTAAAATCCCCCCCCCCCCCCCCCCCGTTTCAGGCACAACTACCAGTGTCAACAGTTGCTACTCTTTTTTTATTTTTTTACCCATGAGTCACTGCTCCCTGGAATCTATTTTGGGTGCTGTGTCCACACCAGCGGACATTTTTAGCTTACCGGCATGTCGCCGGAACGCGTGTGGGGGAGGGGGTGGATTTATCAGAGCATGACCTCATGTTTGTATGTCCATTGTATTATTACATTTTTTTTGTTTTGCAGCTGTGTTCCTCACATTCCCCCTTCAGACAGCGTGGGGGGTAGAACCTGCTTTAGAACACGCAAACACATTAAGGCACAGCATTAATGACAGAACGGCGACCTGCTGCTGTGGGTTTGCAAGTGTCTACGTGCATCTGTGAAATGGTCATAAAAGTCACAAGTTGCTTATATAATTATTTTGATGTCTGCTGTACATCTTTAACAAGTTGCATTTATATAATTTAAATATTTTCTTACTCTAGCTGAGTGTTTAGTTGTATTTTTACAAATATGCATCTTTTCCCCAGCAAACTCAGAAAGGCTGTTATCAATAACCAGCTGTATTCTGTTCACCCTGATAATTCATTTGTACAATGCCTCCTTTTTCTCATTGCTGTGGGTCTGTAATCGGTGAAACGTCTGTGCTGATGCTTGGTGCGTCTGCAGCCGGAGACGCTCGAGTGAGCTTGGGAGACGGAGCTGAGCCGTCACCTCTCATTACACTGACGTCCGCCTGCAGGACTCCGAGATGCTGTGTTCACATGGAAACCGAGTCGGGAGCGTGGGGGGGGGGGGGCTTGTAATGGGACACGTGGGACGAGGATCTGGAGGGAAGACGCCCAGAGTTCACTCCGGAATCGGGAGGACTCGACAGTGGTCAGTCATGGGAGGCACAATCCCAACGGCCTGTCCATCCAATGAACGGTTTTAATTACATCATTGATGTGCGCCTTCACTGAACCTAACGACTGGTCGGTCTCAGTTGAGGGGGGCTCAGCACGCTCTGTGCTGGTGTGAGCCTGCCAATGTCTTAGGTAACTGGGACACCCCCTCTATGAAGCATGTACTGCGAGACAGATAAATACCAGGGAGTCTGGACCCCCCCCACCGCCGCCGCCGTTCCCCCACAATGTCCTTTAAATATTAATGCAGGGAGAAAGAAAATGGAGAATTTCATGGCCTGGATACTGCGGTCTGTGTTTCAAAGGCATAGTGTCTGCCTTGCTTGCAGGTCCACTGGCTTTACTGCTTGGAAAAAGGGATTAAACAGACCTTTATTAAGGCAGAGAGGACGACATGTACGAGGCATGCGGCAACGGACATGTACGGAAAAGACCAAGCCACCTTCACAGACTCCATGAGCAGTGAGGTATGTGCATTTACATGGAGGGAGAATGGGGAGCTCTTAAGCGGCTGCAGGCTGGAGACAGAAGGTCCACTGGAAGCTCAGTGGGAATCTCCATGGAACTGGAATGGGGCTGGGCAGGGTAATCCCACACCACCTCCCCGCTCTGGTCTGGCAGTAAAGCAGCACCATATTTACAAGGCGGGAATCCCTTTTTTTGCACCAAAATTGGTCGCCCAATCGAGAGACATAGAAAACACAGGCATGCTTTCTTGGGCAGGTGTTTCCTGCGGCTTTTCCTATCAGGGAGCCCAAATTCCCCTCCACTTCCCTCCAGGTTTGTTTTGAGCCTCTGATCTCCAAACAGTCATGTTCGCCTCTAGCAGCACCGGGTGATATGAGCCACTCCCACCTTCTCCAGCCACTGGCTTCTGTCAGCATGCTTTCGGGAGAAACAGGTTTACGTAATGCTAGTTTGGCCTCTCTGCTGCCCCCGCAGGCCATTATGTGCACTGCCTCACTACAAGAACAGAAATCTACTGGTCAAGCGATGTGTCATGTCTCATTGTGATATCGCTTTGCAGCAGTATTAAAAAGAAAATGTATATTTTCACATAATCTCTATATCACCAACAGGCACCTCTTCCTGTTCTACATGCTTGCATGTAGCAGGTGGATTGGGTTGTAGGAAAACCGAAGGAACCCAGCCAGTTTAAATGGTGCTATTATCGCCCCAGTTTCCGCATCTTTCCACTTTTGCTGACACATTGTGTTTTTTTTTTTCTCTTTTGGTTTTGCATATAGCTCACAGCACAGAGACGGCAAACCTTTCCGTTTAGGATCTCATTCACTAAAGAGATTCAGGTCTTTCGCCGAGATCCCCGCCCCGCCCCCCCCGAGCCGCTAGTTCATCATGGCGGAAATATCCGACTCAAGGTTAGACCTGTCTGGCTTACCGCCAAATGCTGCATGCACATCACACCTAATGGCTCAGATGGGACGTAAATTATAGTTGAATGACGCAGTCATTGTCTCAGTACAAAAAGAAAACAACTACACGCAAACCACTGACTTCCTGTGTGGGTTCGTGAATACATCCTACACCTTTACCGAACTTTGGCTTCTCCAAATGCAGTATCAGTGTGGAGCCATGCCAAAGATAGACTTAATCACTCAGAGGAGCGCAATCGGAGACCTCGCGCTACAGCAGCACCTGGACCCATCTCTCCTGTTAAGCAGACCGTTAAATCCCAGAGCTGTGGTCTCATTCCGGAAATACGGGCCTAAAGAATGTTGTCCCCAAGCCTCTCAAAGGTCACTCTCATTTACAGGGGGGGGGGGGGGGGTGAGTGGGAACGGCAGCCATCAGGGTGTGCCGCGGCGTGGGAGCCGGCCGGCGGGCGTCGGAAGTGTGTGGGAGCAGCCGATTCACATCACGGCGGCACTTCAACGGCGATATCGTTCAGGGCGGCGTCCGAGTGGGTGGCTCCCCGTTAACGATCACAGAAACGGCACAGAGACCATGTGAGAGCACCTCAGCACACGGCCAATTTTTACGCTTTTACTTTCCCTCCTTTCTCACTACAGATCGACTACTTCCTGTCCCACACGCCGAAAAGCCATCCTTCAACACAGAGTATGAGCAATCACTCCAACTCCCACACGTATTTTGCATTACTCGTAAATTTGGAACGAATATGATCCATTACCATAAAAAGGGTCAGTAAGGGGTAGGGCTCCATGCACTGTGGTTTGCATCTGGGCTTAACAGCTGTAATTATTGGGATAATAAGTGACCTGGTCCTCAGCTGGGGTCTAATTAAATGGTTCTATAAATCATGCGCCTCATGGTCATCCAACTCCACCTGAATTTCAGCCCCCCCGCCTGCCCGGCCCTCCCCGCAATCACCAAAACTACAAAGCTAAAGTGAAAATTAGGCATGTGTTTAATTGCGGCGACATCTGTACTGAAGTCAGCCCAGTTCTCCGCTGCTGGAACGCAAATCCTCAGAACCATGAATATCTAAGAGCCCCTCATCAGAGAGGGAGGTATCTGATTGACAGTTTAGACCAACACTGGGGGGAACTGGACCCCCCAACCTACACCACGCATCCTCAAAATGGCTAAACAAGGGGTGGAGTGAAAAAAAACAAGGTCTCCACGCAGTGCAAAGCAGGAACAATGCGTTCTCTTAAATTATTTTAATTTCCTGTGTACACTAAAATTTACACACTTAAGTCAGAAAAGAACCTGGGCATGCATATTAACCTTTTGACAGGCTCTTCAAGTGTATTGACTTTTTCCATAGGAATTTTCCCATACATTTTACAGTCCATAGTTTTACTGTACACAGTCTAAAGCCACAGCGAACTATGATTACATCCACTTCATCTTTACAATGTGCAAAATCCTTCTAAAAACAGATTTACAGTAGTAGAACATAAACAAAAAGGCAGGGACAAAAACAGGACAGGCAAACAAGTACTTAACATCGTGGAAAAAGAGAAATGAGTGAGTACATATTGGTCCCTCATTCCTTGTCATTTTGAGCTGATTATCTCTTCAGTAACTCACATTCCGGTTTGTTTCTTATCCAAAAATACCAGTGGTTCGAATGGAGAACGCCAACCCTACCTTCACACAGCAGAAACGACAGCGAGACAACATCTTTGTCCAGCGGCCACAGGGGCATAATTGTCGGGAGATGCAGACACAGACGACGACAAACGAAATCATCCGACAAACAAACGAACAAAAACAAAACAAAAAAGAGCACAATGACAGAAATCGAATGGACAAAAAAAAAATCAATTTCAGGATAAAATCTACATACAGTAAAAAATAAAAACCAAGGCAATTAACACAACAGGAAACATTCAGCTGGATTTTGCAGGCAGTGTGGTTTCAAGTTATGTACATCATTTTATATTTTTATATATTTCTAATTCACTTTACTTGGCCTTGCAAGAAGGACTTCAGCCAGTGTTCTCACTACCACAGACAGACGCACTCCCAGCACGGAATGGGGGGGGGGGGGGGAATAATCTTCCAAAAAATAACTGAAGTTCATATCCCTGATTATTTACAGATTGATTCTCATAATAAACAAGACTGCTTCCACAGAACTTCAGTTCATAAATAAATATATGCTTTTATTTCTGATTTCTCCATGTTCATTGTCATCCGTACGGTGAGTTGAGCTTCTCTCAGGGTTTTGATTTCTGAAGCAAATGGGGCAGCAGCAAGACGTGAGCGAGAGAGAGAGAGAGAGAGAGGGGGGACAGAACGGGGGGTGACCAGAAGCGGAGACGCGAGGGTGTTCAGTCGGGCGTGGCGGCGGCGCTGGATGTGCCCAGGGGGGTCAGCGTGGTGGGGAACATCAGCACCTTGGCCTGCATGAAGGACAGGTCTGGCAGGCTGCTGATCACCTTGGCCGCCTCCTCGCTCAGGTGCTCCTCCTTGCGAGGCTTCCTGTTGGCAG